CGAACGGTTCGATATCGATACGAGTATCGTTGCACCCCTAGAAACTAAATCTAATATCAAGAAGACGGCTAAGCTAGTTGGTCAGTGGTGAGTCCAGCAGAAATTTCAAAGCACTTTCATTCTCTGCTTCTGCACTTTTTTCATTACAACATTAGTTCAGCACAGCAGCAACACCAACATATCAGGAGTCAGCTCTACCTCACAGTCATGAAGTGGAGCTCAGGTAGGGGATGCGGGTGCAGGTGGGGTGTGTGGGGGTGGGGGGGTGTTCAGGTTGGCACATTAAATATGTGTCCCCTACAAAAGGTTATGGTATGAGACAATTACCCGTCCACTTCCTCCTGTCTGCTTTAATATGGGTGATAGTGCTGTGGTTAAGTTTCAGTGACAGTTGTGATAAGGATCTGAATGAGCTTTCACAGTCACTCAGGGAGCCATCCTGATAACACATGCCTCACCAAATCAACGAGATGAAATTGGCCTGTTTCCTCCATCTCTAGAGCTATTTGTGCAACACAGCCCTGAATTGCAGCAAAGGGGGGAAAAAACCTGTTGTTACATTGGTGGATGACAGTACCTTAAAACGGCATTTCGTGCACCCGGGCTGAGCGCTGGCAGAGCTGGGAGAAATGACAGCACGCCAAGTAGCAGATTCATTGATGTAATTTACCTCAGTGTCGTTTTAAGGGAAACGAATAAAATTCACAGGTGCTTTTCTTTCCGATGGATGTAAGACACGAGTCTCAAATACATCTATACCAAAGCTAGAACAGCAGAAAATCCACATTCTGTCTTCTTCTCTGTCTATCCAGAGACTTTTAGCATGCACAGCAGCAATATTATAATCCACCAGAGCTGCTTCACCAACAGGAAGCTTTGTAGACACAGTGGCAGCACCCAGGGGGATTTTATGGGCCCATTTTCTGGTTCATAGCTGTTAGCGCTACAACAAGATGAAACTCATCTGGATGTAAAAGCTCAAACCATCTATGAATTCTCAGACTGTTTGGGTTTTTTTATTTTTTAGGTTTTGTCAGTTGAACACCAGCATGTCACATGTCCACATGGAGAGATGTGTTTTTTGCTTTTTCTTTTCATTACTTTCAACGGGAGGGCATCCTGTGACAATGCTGAGAGCAGTGCTGGTGTCTGCTGCTCAGCATGAA